GTTCCGCTCCATCACCCATTCTCATCAAGTACACACCATTTAAAAAGATTAAAGAAAGAAATTGACAGGAAAAGATGAATCCGCCGTAGGTAACATTTCTCAAAAGGGGTGTCGGACTTGCGTAGAGGCCGTAAGCGGTTTTGATTTAAAAAGGAAGGGGGGCAGGGGTTATTTACCTATGAATATATACTTTTGACTAAAGGGTTTTATATTTTGTTGCATGTGCTTAAGGGGAAGGTCTGAGCAGCATCCAATGGTGGCTCCAGCAGCATCGTGAGGATATCTAAGAAGATCCGAGAAAGACTAAAAAGTGGGTTGGGCACATTTTTCTTCTCCTGATGTTCGATGTCCGCCTGAAGGCACCCGAGAAGAGGCCAACGTACAAAATGGTTAAACACAGCCCACCAAAACCCGGAAAGTGGCTTTTCGGCCTTTGGTCTCTCCATCGAGGAGTTGATTGGGCTATGTCCCGCGGATTCGTTAGTGCACTGTCACGCCTTTGGGAGTGAAATTCGTGACATCGCCGAAGCAAGCTAGATCGGACATGACATGACAGTCGCCCCAGTAAAAATGAGAAGTTAAATGTCGAAGCAGGATACATTAAATCCTCTGTCCTATGAAATCTCGACCAAAATCCTGAAATGCGTTTTCGATTCGAACAAATTGCTTCAGTAGCTTTGTTATACCGATTATCGTACAACCTTATCTCAAGATATTTCACTCGTGGTCGCCTGCAAAACTTATGTTCTTGGAAAATGGCGGCTTAAATAGTGTGTGCATCTTCCGCATTGAATTTTGAAATCCCTATAAATCCATATCTATTTTGCAGAAAAATTGCGCAAATATGTTCTTTTTTGTACTCCCTTTGTAGGCAATTACGTTTTTTCCTTTTTCTAAACTTTGAGAAAGGGAATTTTTCGGTTTTAAAAAAGACTCTATAAGATTTTTACGAATGGTAAGTGTTCATTCATAACACCTCGTATGCGCCAACGGTTAACGTTGCCTATAAAGTATAGAACACGATCCAACCCCAATGTAATTTCTTATGAGCGTTTTGTGAACCCGTCCTTACATCATAGAGAAATTTTAAATTTCCTTTAGACATAATATGTACAGCATGTAGTTGAGAAACCTCGAATTTAAATGTACAGGCAGGTAGCGTTCAACATTATTTGGCAATTTAGAAACTTTTTAAAACCGGAGGATGTCCTTTCTTAAGGTATAAAGACGTGATTGCCTACAAAATGACTATAAAAAGAATATTTTTTGCATGGTTTCTGAATATACAAATGCCTAAGGCCATCAAAATTCAATGAGAAAAGCGTCCACTAGGTAAATCGCCGTTTTTGAAGAACA